GCCCTTTGGCTTGACTTACTAGCTTGCCTACAACCTGAATACTTCTTGGGCGTAAGCTTGGCCCTGGGCTTGGTTATGTGGCTTGTGGATTGGCTTAGCTCGAATTTTGGTAAGAGTTTCGTGGCAGGCCTGAGCCTAGACCAAATTTACATCCCTACCCTCAATCATTAAGTAGCCAAGTAGAACCACATAGATCTCTTTTACTTAATTATTTAGTGATTTGTGGCCTTCTTGATTTCAAAATAATAACATGAGATTAGACTATTAATTCTATCAAATTTATATTTTGATTTTTGAATCACAATAATCATTAAAGTTTCTATTTAATTAAATTGCCAGAGCTGAATTATATCTACAAGTGCTTTGTGCCTACAACAACGCATTGCCTTGACATGTCACCTAAAAGTAGTAAACAACTATAAGCACATGGTAGAGCGAGAAATATTATACTAAGAGCGTAAGGGCATAAAATTCACCATGGATAATTATTGGGCTAAACAAAGCTTGATATTAAAATACATAATATATAATATGAGAATCATTTGACATATAATACAGAAATTATATAAACAAAATAATCACTTAGTAACTATCACATCTAATAACAATAAGAATAATTTTTTTTTGGTCAGACCGTCCAAAATTGCTATTAGTTTTCCTCAACCATCATACTATCCAAAAATTTAAATATAAAATTGCAAATGCGTTTGCACACACCGCTTGTACATATATATGTGGGAAGGATTCTCATGGGTTGTTTTTTACGGAAATTTTTTCTGAAGCATTTTTTTTAATGCACTTTGTAGTGGGAAATTTCACTTGTGTTTTTTGTAGGGTGACGTGGGAAACAACAACATTGACAGTGACAGTGTTGTGGCACGTACCTTCTTAATAAGAACAAAAACTGAGGAGGATCGAAAGAAGCTTGCAGCAGCAATTCAGGAATATGCCCCTCCTGCTTGAAAATACACATGAAAGTGATTTTCCATCACATTGTACAACCCTTGAGCTTCAACAAAATTGCAAATGCAAAATTTTTGTGTAGGGTGGTCTTGTTGAAGCCGATGAATCCTCCTTTTCTTTCGGAGGGAGGGCGAGCTCCAAAAATCTACCAAGCGGAGCCAATATTCAAAAGTTGACAATATTTTCATATGTACAAGAGGCTAATGCACCTGTATCATGTAGAGAAGAAAGGATGTTCTCCTCCAAAGTGGGTATTTTACATTCTTTTTTTTTTTCTTCTAATTATCATGCAAGGATTAGCAAAGAACTTGGCTTGAGTAGCTCCTATTAAAATGCCTTTACATGTTGGTCATCTCTTCTGAAATGCCCCAAGGAATGTCAAATAATGCAGCTGGCCTGGTGGTTGCAGATGCACAAAGCTCATCTGAGATGCATGAATCAGATTCGCCTGCTGCAGCTGCTGGTCTGCTGCTGCCGCCCTTGTGGTTGATGCTTGCTGGGCTGCTGCTGCTGCAATGTTGCTGTGAAGCGGCTGCTACTAGATGTTGGTTTGCTGGATAAGTTTGTGGATACTTTTCGTGTCGTTTTGCCTGTCTTTGTTAGTTTCATGTTTTCATTGTGTTATCTGTTGTTTGTAATGTGGGTTCACAATTTGGATGTATTTGGGTATTTTAGTGAGTTTACCCTTTTAGGTTTTATACACTACTTCTAAAAGCAGTATCAGCGGTGTTTTTTTTTTGCTTGCACATCAACTTTAGGTAATTTTATATCAATGTTATTAGTTTGTAATAGTGGTGCCTGAGGAATGTCTCTTGTAAATCTATAAATCTTATAAAAATATATAAATTATTTTCAATTATTTTTGTTGGTAAATGAGTCGCCAAAAGTTTATTTGTGCCCACTCATATTGTGTTGTTAGAAGTGTATTTTTAGCCAATGCTAATTTGTCGTTGTCTAAAGTAAACCTTTATCGACAAATAAATCGTCGGCAAATAGCAATATTTACCGATGTAAATGTATTGCTAAAAGTTTATTTTTGCCCACTCATATTGTGTTGCTGAAAGTGTATTTTTTGCCAATGCTAATTTGTCGTTGCCAAAAGTGAAGCTTTATCGACAAACAAATCGTAGGCAAATGGCAACATTTACCAACGTAAATGTGTTGCCAAAAGTTTACTTTTGCTGACGTATATTTTGTTGCTAAAAGTATATTTTTTGCCCATGCAAATTTGTGTCGCGAAAAGTGTCACACAATCACCATATTTGAATGACTTTTACCGACGTAAGGTAAATTGCCGACGATGGATGAAGGCTTCTAACAACGACTATGTTCGTCGCTAAAGGCATTACTTTTACCAACGTGATGATAATTTCGTCGGCAAAAACTTTTGCCGACTCACTTTTGCCTACGGGTTGCCAACGTAGCTTTGTGTGTTGGCAAAACTCTTTGCCGACGAATTTTCCCTTTTAGAAACATATTTTCTTGCGTTGCAAAAAATGCAATTTCTTGTAGTGCTCCTTGGAGGATGAGAGAGCTTTCAACCCTTTGTTGTTAGCTTCAGTTGTGCCCTTTTCTGGCAAGTATAGTGCCCTTTCTAGCAAATAGAGTGCCTTTTCTGGCAAGTATGTTGATGACGGGGGAATAGGCAGAAAACCTGACTCAACTGTGCCCCTGGTTCATCATTTTGACCATTTTTTGTTTTGGCTTTCTACTAAAACAATTTTGACCAACATGAGAGTTAGATTAACGTACTTGTTCGATTTTCTGATTTGAAATCATGCAAGTCAGGTTGTGAGCACTGAATATTTTCCTTTTTTGGGTCCAAGAAAATGGTCCAGTTTCGAAAAAAATGGAGTAATTTTCGAGAAAATTAGTCTACTTCATTAAAAATTCTCAAAAATTGTTTTTGCAAATGGCCACTACTCGACCAACACAGAATCCACTCTTGAGATGCACAACCTTAGATCCAAAACAATGGAAAATTACCCCTTGTCTAAATGGCACTGCACAGCAACAGAAAGTTGCCCCTTGCCTGAATGGCACCACAGCGCACTGTAATCAGTCCTCAAAGTGACGATCACAACCGAACTCTCGGATAAAGAGAAGACAAGGATGATCAGAACCATTACATGGACAAAATCGATTTAGAAGTGTTTATGGCTGGACTTCAGAATGAAGTTGCCTACGTATCCCAAACATGGGAATCAAGCCTAACGTAATTCCGGGTTAAGGTACACTCGGGTATTAACCTCTTCTTTTGCGCTCTAACTTTTGCCAAGGCTGCCCTTTCTGGGTTTTCAACCTTGCGAGCTATATTCTTCTTTTCTTTTCAATTCTTTTCTTCTTTTTTTTTTCATCTTTTCTTCTTTTTCTTTCTCTTTGCAAATTTTTTTCCTTTTTTGTTTCTTCTTTTATTTTATTTTCTTTTTTATTTCTTTTTCACTTGCTCTAACTTTTGCCTGGGTCGCCCTTTCGGGTTTTCGGCCCAGCAAGCCTCTCAAGGGTAAAAGCGTAACAAGTCCATGTTGATTGGTCGTAGGATCTCGAAGCCATCTGAATCCAGGAGAATGGTTGTTGTTCGCTGATGAAGTAGAAGTCCATCCAATGGGGACTAAATTTGCCCCTAGTGTTGCGGATAGGAACTCAGTTGTCCTTCAGCAAAAGCTTTCTTCTTTCCTCCCTTATGGGATTTGGCATTCTTGCCAGTCTTCATTGGTTTGCAGAATGATCCATCTTTGGCTCTTCGAGCACATCTAACATTTTTGCCCCTGGTTCAAGGGCTATTTCTGATCCAGCTTTGCAAGCTTCTTTTGATAACACTTGATTTTGTTGATATGACTTTTCTTGCCCCTAGTTCATGGGCTGCTTCAAATCTGGCCATACAGGCCCCACATTGTGATTGACCGTTGAACATTCTGAATCCATGTTCAAGGTTTGAAAGAAAAAGGGATTGAATCTCGAGGCTGAGAGTGATCCTATGCTGCACAATCTCAAGAGCGATTCCATACAAGTCTTCGCAAGACGGCGCAAAACATTTTTTGAAATCTTTTAAGAAAGTGACTAGTCGCTCGCACTGAAGACAATGTAGAACCAATCTAGATCAAGTCAGGATCCTTCTTAGTACTCATATTAACAAGCATGATCTCATTCATTAAGGGCTTAGCACGCCTCTCTTTTTCTCAGTTGATCAAATTTTGCAAATCCCGAGGAATTCTTTCCTCTTTGTTTTCGTCACAATGTTAAAAACGTTTTGAAAAACTTAGGTCAATGCAATAATTTCAAGGCACAGAAGAGCAGGTGAAAAGCACTACTGTTTCATTCAAATTTTCTGGTGCAACTAGCCCCAAGGCAGAAATAAACACAAAAGCGTGAAAAACCACTGCTGTTTCATTCAGATCTTCTGGCGTAACTGGCTCTATGGCAAAAACAGACTGAAAAGAAAGATTGGGTATAAAAGACAAACACCAAAACAAACAAGTGATGTCCGAGGTAACACCCTTGAAATCACTTGACTCTAATAAAACAGGATTGACTCGATACAACAAGACAGACCCCAATCAAAAAGACTGACTTAAAACAACGAGACAGACCCAAAACAAAACAACAGAACTGACTCAATACCCAAGTCAAAAAGTAAAATAACCAGCATTCGCAAATGCTCAAAACAGTGAGTGCCATACGCCACATTTGGAGCAAACTGAGCGCCGCCCGCAGGTGGTTCGTCCCTCTAATCACATCACATTATCCCCTAAGTTCATCAATCTAGTGCCGATAGACTGTGCAGGACCTGGTGCGGTGATGACGTCGTTGTCAATCAAATTTTGTACTTCATGGCGAAGACGAAAGCAATTGTCGGTGCCATGACCGGTTTGTTGATGGTATGCACAGTACTGGGCAGCATCATGCTTAGTTGGAAGAGGATTCGGGAGAGGCCGAGGCTCAAGGGGTTTGAGATGGCCTTTTTCAACAAGGATTTGAAGATCCTTGGATAAAGGCATATAGAGAGCATGAAAGACCTTGCGACCTCAGGGTTGATACTTCGAGGTTTATGGATTTTTGCTGGATGCACTAGCAAAGGGGTCGGCAGGTGCTGGCTTGGTTTGCTGATTTCTTCCGAGTGCAGGATTAGAGTTGACATGATCGTTTCTAGTATGACGGTCCTTCTCTCTGTTTCCCTCTTGATTCAAACTGCTCTTATTCTGAGTGGCGAAAGTGTCATCCGTAATTTTTGCAACAACTGCGAGCACTTGCTGTTTGTTCAGTCCTTCGGTTTTCAAAGCCTCCACGGCCCACAGAAGGTGTTCGTAGGGATCACTGCCTGTCCCTATCTTGTTCTTTCCACTTGCCTCAGCTTGGTTGAAGGTTTGGGTTACTGCGTCATAGCGGAGCCCTGTTGTTTTCGACATGTCATTGCCCAAACTTGGAGTGGTTTCAGGTTGGCCAATTTCAATTACAATTCACCCTAGGAGTGGGGAGTTTTCTGGTATGAAATTTTCGGCATGTGATGTGGTCGATGGCGGAGCCAATAATCCAAAGGCAGGATCAGCCACAGTTCTCTGAAGATTGCCGATCATTCCCATCAACTCAAAAGTGGTGGGCTCACGAGTTTGAGCTGATTGGGGCTCTAAGACTAGATGGGTGGGAGGTGCCCCAGATGGTCGTTGTATTTCAGCATCGGTCTCACCCTGCATGGTGATTCCTTGGTATAATGCGGCTGTCATGACCACAATTTCTTCTGAACTCTGCGTCATTATGAGTTAGGTAAACTGAACAGAGGTGATGTGACTTGTGACTAACAGATCAGATGAACTGATGAGCCCTGACTGGCCTTTCTCTGCCTTGCCTCAGCGAAGGAAAACACTAACTGCACTGAACTAAATCTCTGACATATTAGAGCCCTCTGAAGCTATTGTTCCGTGACTACCTTGCAAAAGAGAAAACCGACAGCATCTCATCCCAACTTTATCAAAACAGATGTGAGTATAGCTGAATGGCTGTGTTCTCTACTGAATTCTGCCTGTAAACTGATACCCTCAGGTAAAATTAATTCCCCCAAAATACTGATGCCCTCAAGCTTGATACCCAGACTTCTAAACTGATACATGCATTCCTGTAGAGACGCACTCTAAAAGCACATAACAAGCAAGTGAGAGCCAAAACACCCCTATGCAGGGGTAGGGTTTCCCTATCCTATTTTGTCAGGAGCTAGGGTTTCACTACGTACACAGCGGTTTCAAACAACCTATAATCGGGTAAGCAACCTGTCCTAGCTTGGACTGGTCACTACAGTTTCCGATATGCACTAGGTCGAATAGTCAAAAAAGGTGCCCCGGTAAAAATCGAGGTTTGTGTTCCCGTCGTGGCAGAGCCTGCAACCGGTCAGCCTTATGGCACGCTTCGCAAAGCAAGCCTCCGACAAACCGTTTAGGAATACCATACAGCAAACATGGTGTCCTAGGCATACCAATGCAAATGCAATGCAAAGAGACACATAAGTGTAGCCAAAACAAGATATCTTGAGTTCGAGTCAAGTTCTCTAAATCCCCAGCAGAGCTGCCAGAAACTATAGACGGGCCCGAACGTCCCGGCTCTGTGCGCGAATGGCGCGAAATCTGTTTTGTTCATTAAGCTACTACAGTTCGGACTCAATGTCACGGTTCTGAATCTAATCTCGCAAAGTGCAATGCAAGACCGATAAATCACCAAAGAGTTCAAATCTGGCAAATCGTTTTGGAAAACTGATTTTTATAAAGAAGTGTCAAACGTGGACTGCTTTGCCAGATACAGAGTTGCCACCTAAATGTTTTATTTGAGGAAATTTAGGAAACCCTGACTCGTGCCTAAGGCCACGTGTCCGTC